TTCTGCAAATTTCTCTGAGGATCAACAATCTTCCCTGAAATTCAGTATTTTTCCCTGACGTTCTGCCAATTTGCCTAAAGCTCTGTGAACTGCCCTGAAGTACTGAAAATAACTCTTAGATGTACGAGGATCTTTAAATTTATGTGATCTTCCCTGAAGTTCTGTGAGTTTATCTAAAGTTCTGCGAACTTCTCTGAAATTCTGTTCTATAAATTTCCCTTAGGAACTAAAAAATTATCTTTAAATTTACGAACATCACTGTAGTTCTGTTAATTTCTCTGAAGATCTTCAAACTTCCCTGAAGATCTGTGAACATCCATAAAGAAGGGGTTATTTCTCGAAACGACGACAAACATTACTGTAGTGCTGTAAATTACTCAGAAGATCTACGAACTTCCCTGATTTTCTTTTGATTTCTCTAAAGATTTCAGTTTTTTAAAACTTCTCTGAAGTTTTTTTTTTTAATTTCCCTAAAGTTCTGCTAGTTTCTCTGAAGATCTACGACCTTCGGTGTAGTAAGATCTTCATAACAATTTCCGATTATTCTACGTTCTGAAGAAATTTTCAAACGACTTCAATTCGATTTTTTATCAGATGTTGGTCCTCAGAATAATTCCTGATCAACTTGACCTCTTCGAAAAATATCTCAAGATTTTAATTTCTAATCCTTATCAACCTGACCACTTCGAATATTTTCTAAATTACTTTATTTGAATTTCTGATCAGTTGTAGGTCTTCAAAACAATTCCTGCTTATTTTGATCTCTTGTAGTAATATCCGAAAAGTTTCGATTGATTTATTGATCAGTTGTAGGTTCTCAGAATAATACCTGATCAATTTAAACTTTTCAAAGAATATCAAAAGGACATCGTTTGAATTTCTGTTCAGTTGTAGGTCTTCAGAATAATTATTAACTTAAATTAAATTAAATCTGGTATTTTTCTGATGTTTATAGAACTACCAACAATCAATACGAAACTAACGATTTTAAATTGGCTCACCACTTTAGTAGCCTATTGGTCCCAAGCAAACGATTAACGTACCCTATTCTAGTTGAAATTCTATTACTACACTATGTTTGTTTTGATTCGCTATGAAAGTTTGACAGATAACATCAGGGGTGTATGGATTCATGCAGAACATGCAGGGGTGAGTGAAATAGCTTGGGACTGCTTGGGACCGTTGTTCTGGTACTGAGTGAGCCAAAAATAATAATGATTTTCTTCGGGACCCAGTGGTCTTAGAGTTACCTCTATGGAACTACCCTGAAGTTCTAGTAGTTCTTCTAACTAACCTTAAAATGTACATTTACCCCTATACCGCTATGCCGCTGTCCTGGTGTCATTGGGTTCGGCCATTTACCTGGCTCGTAGACATTTCAAAGACAACAATGTCTGCATGATGTTTATACATCGGTTCAAACTATGCGTATTGATAAGTTTTCTGAAAAGATTTGGATCTAGGTGCATAGTTTGCTTTGATAGTCTTTCAGTTTCTCTAGCATTCTCTAGTCTTAGCTCATCTAAATATTTATTGCAAAATCCCTGGATTAATCTTCAATTTGGCTTTGTTTTCTTGTTTATTTTCTATCGTTCTATGTTCTGCAACCGAGTGGCAACCACTTACGCTAGGGAGGCAATTGAACACCTAGACCTGGACTCATCAACTCAAGGGCCAGGATCCACGGCTGTGCTTCTTTTCGAAGGAAGGCATGACACCACCAAAGCAACCAAGGAAGTCATCAATCCCCACCAACTGACGAGTTTCGTTTGTGGTTCGACACATGGACGGAGCATTTGTGTTTTGCTAAATTTTGCAAATTATTGGGGAATTTCCCTAAAGTTTCACGCGGCCACCAGTTTTCACTCTTCCACAGGCCTTAAGGGTAACCCACATTAGATCTGCTTGCGTTGCGTTGTCGTAAATTTTATAGTTAGACAATATATTTAGCTGTCACTTTGCTGCATCGCTCCAGATCCGGATCTAATGTGGGTGGCCCTGTAGATTTGGAAACTTGATTATGTAAACACTAGGCATCTTTGTCTGGTAGTTCGTTCAAAAATGATACAACAATCGTCAAGCTCGCTGTAACGTCACCTAGTGCCTCGTCACCTACAAATTGGCGCCTATGTCAGTGGTCTAATAACTCTTAGCGCGCTAATGGCATAGTTCCCCTGCCGCATAGAGAGTTACCACAATGACATTAGGTTAGCTAAGGTCAGTTAACTGACTGGTGGGAAACGGGAGCTTACGCAATGGCTATTCTGTATGCATTTAAGAGATAGTCTACCAGAATGGATGATTTTTTTTGTACAATTTTATGTTTTCTGATTGTGCAAAACATGAGAATTAACTTTTCCAATGCTTTCAATTGTACAAAGCATTAGTGCTAGAAACATGATCTTGTAAACACTACACACCTTAACTGTTAGTTTGATTAAAAAATGCTGCAACAATCGTCAAGCTCGCTGTAATGTCACCAAGTGCCTCGTCACCTACAAATTGGCGCCTATGTCAGTGGTCTAATAACTCTTAGCGCGCTAATGGCATAGTTCCCCTGCCGCATAGAGAGTTGCCGCAATGACATTAGGTTAGCTAAGGTCAGTTAACTGACTGGTGGGAAACGGGAGCTTCAGCATTGACAGTTATGTACGCATTTTTATGATGTTATCTAACAACAATGGTGTGTAGTGTTTACACGATTATGTTACTAACTCTAATGTGTTGTAAATATAATTGAAAGCATTTGAAAAGTAAGATTCTAGTGGTTATACTACTTAAAACATAAGTAAACATCTACATTTTAAAACATTCAAACAACGTTTACTTTAAACGTTTTGTACATCTGAAAACATCAGAGAACAACAAACAGGAAGTACAATTGAAAACATCCGAACAACGTTTAGTTCTAACGTTGTGTACATCCGAAAACATCCAAAAAACGTTTGGTTCTAGCATCGGGAAACATCTACATAAGAAAACATTAGAATACATTTACATATAAAAACATCCGAACAACGTTTAGTTCTAACGTTTTTTACATCCGAAAACATCCAAAAACGTTTGGTTCTAACATCAGGAAACTTCTACATTAAAAAACATCAGAAAACATTTACATATAAAAACATTTAAACAACGTTTAGTTCTAACGTTTTTTACATCCGAGAACATCCGAAAACGTTTGGTTCTAACATCGGGAAACATCTACATTAGAAAACATCAGAAAACGTTTACATATAAAAACATCCGAACAACGTTTAGTTCTAACGTAATGTACATCAGAAAACATCCTTAAAACGTTTGGTTCTAATGTCAAGAGATTGAAATTTTTGACGTCAGACCGACATTAGAATGGCAAAATTTTGTTCCAAAATTTCTGATGTATACACCATGTTACGTTGCTTAAATACAACTAAATCATAATGTTTTCTAATGTTTGACATCAGGCATACATTTGATTTCGATGCTGATGTAGACATCAAAATCAAACGTTGGGCTAATGTAAATTTCTATTCGGGTTATCTTTACACAAGTTTCTGGTGGAAGTTGGACGTCTGTTCTCTGTGATTGAGTGTTGAGGCTACGGGTAAATTTTGGATAACGTACTGTTCACTAATGAAGTCATTGTTTACAAAAGCTGTTACGCCCTAATTCCAGCTCAATCTAGACTTGTTCTTATGGTCATGAAAATTTGTGCCATTGAAATCAAATCAAAACAGGCGTAGCAAAAAAGCGTGTTTGCAGCGCCGGTGGTGTAGTGGTAAGCGTGATTATCTCTCACCCCAGCAGGCCTGGGTTCAATCCCAGTCGGCGCCGTCGGGATGTTCTGAGGCATAACATCTCTGATCACGCCTTCCTTCGGAGGGGAAGTAAAGCCGTTGGTCCCCGGTTCATGAGTTGATGAGTCAATAGGTAGGGTCCACACACTTAGATTTTTTTGCCGAGATGGGCACCACCGAGCAGCTCGGCATTTTATTTTGCTGGAAATTCAGCAAAAAATATGTTTGTTAGCTGAGATCTCGGCAAAATTCCCGTTTGTTAGCTGAATCTCGGCAAGTTTTTCACTGAGATACAGCAAAATAAAATGCCGAGCTGCTCGGTGGTGCCTATCTCGGCGAAAAAATCTAAGTGTGCAGGTGTGGGAGCCGCCTCCCTGGCGTCGGTAGCATTGGTGCTCAGCACGGAAAACAAGATCGACGGAAAACAAATCAAAGGAAAAAAAAAAGCGTGTTTTGCTTTGAGCGTGTAGCGTGATTGTTTGAGATTGTTCAGTGTGCAGTGAGAAACTGTTCTTTTCTGTTTGGTATTTTATTATTCCACTAGATGTTATGACAAAATCTTGGTTAATGGTATCTTTCAATATTGATTTGCGTGTATTTTGGATGAATTAAAAAGAAACGGTGTCCCATGGAATAAAATAGCTGGAAACAACAATTCAGGCATAACATTTGATAACGACACAAAAGCATTTGTAAACAAACTTTCTAAAGTCCTTTACACGTGAACCAAAGTACACCCAAGCAAACCAACAACATCATCGGATAGGGGAAACTATCACCTTTCTGAAAGTGGTATTGGTTTAAAGGGCCTTAGAAAGTTTGTTTACAAATGCTTTTGTGCCGTTATCAAATGTTATGCCTGAATTTGTCATAAATTGATTTACGCAAGATGTCAATACCGCATTGTGTATTCTTGTTCAACTGTAAGAAAAGCATCATAAAATTGCTTGGCTCCCAATGACAGTTCGTGGCAGCAGCCGTATGGCTGCATTTAACGTTCCATTTCTCTCTCTCTCTTCGTGACTCTTCCTCAGATTCTACCTAATCATTAAAGAAGAAAAATTACCTAATACAAAATGTCATGAAAATTAGCTTTGGTAAACTAAGACAACATGGCTTTTTATAAGTTAACTATGTTCCAAACCAATACAAATGTCAAATCAATAAGATTTGAAATTTAACAATAATAGTACATCAAATATATACCAACAGGTCTTTTCCATAAAAAGGGAGCATAATAGAATATATTTATTAGTTAAGAATTACAGCGAATAATAGAATCTTAAAATGCGTAAAGTTGTTTACATTTCTGACGAAAACATACACGAAGAAATGCGAAAGTTGGGTGTAATAGGAAATCGTGTAAGTATTTTGCCTAGATGGCCGTTCGAACTTGGTCGTTTTCAATTGTAAAGCTCAGTAACATTTTATTCCAGTCAGAGGTCGTTGATGAACTAGTTAGGTCATATGGTTTGTTAGATTACTGCAAAATTGTCAGTTCAAAGAAATGCTCCTCGGACGATTTATTGTCTTTTCATAGTTCAGATTACGTAGATTGTTTGCAGCGCTATAATGACGAGGACGATATAGAGGAGGTAACGGATGATCTGCTTGAATATGGACTAGGTAAGTTAAATCATTATGGAATACATATTTTACTAGAAAACTGTTTTTGTGGGTTTGTTCTTCAGCTTATGATTGTCCAATGATTGAGAAAATATACAATTTCACCACATCTGTCGCTGGAAGCACACTTGCGGCAGTGGATGCCATTCTCGAAGGTACCTCAATTGCTATCAACTGGAACGGTGGCTGGCATCATGCGCAAAGGTATGATTAGTGTGTTTTTAATGGATCAATGAATGACAATAGAAATACTCCTCGCCACATCTAAATCGCATACCTTTGCTTCTAACGCAAGCAAATCAATATTTTTTTTTAATATTTTCTAATGTTCTACAAAACCCATTCGCTTTTTCAGTGGTCTTATTAAGCTAATTGCTACTTGAATATATCATTTGAAATGACGGTTATAGAAAGCTGATTATGAGAAATTGTGATGCACAAGTGGTTCAAAAGTTATGAATTTTTGAAAAAAGTCATCCTTGAAAAAAAAAACTATTTGTAATATGGAACTGGCCACCCTAATGACAAAACAAAAATATGCGGGTATATATATATTTTGCGGGTCTAATATTTTGCGATTAGGGATTTCCAAGTTAAGAGTTGTCCAAAAATCGGTTTTGACGTAGGACTGCGTCTTTGATTTCTATATGGGGGTACATTTTGTGAAAACCAAAAGTGGAACATGTAAAAAATTAAGAAAGATTTTGAACGTTAATAACTCAGCTGCCCCTGATCTAATTTCAATAATTTTATCACCAATCGATCAGAAATATGGCGATAACGATGCTTCCAAATGTTGATTTTCAACAAGAAACTATTGAAAAACTGGTAAATGTCCAGCATTGTCCAAAAGCGTCGAATTAACTAACAAATCCACCAATTACCTACATGCATATGCTCTTCCCCAGCACAGTCGTCAGAGAGTAGTAAGTAGACGAAACAAGTCGAAGTGGCATTCGCCTCCGATCTTCGGGCGTGTGCGAATAGGGAGGATGGAAATGCGTAATATTTTGCAAACTCATTGCCATATTCAGAACCAAACGCAAATTCTTCGAGATAACCACCATCCGTCGTCTGGCTCGCCGTGGCGGTGTCTGACGTATCTCCGGTCTGATTTACGAGGTGTGCTGAAGGTGTTCCTGAAAAATGAGATCCATGATGCTGTCACCTACACTAAATACGCCAAGCGTAAGCGGCCATGGATGCCATCTACGTTTTGAAGTGACAGAGAAGCACTCTGTTTGGTTTCGGAGGTTAAATCATCACCAACTTTGGCAACAAAACGGCTCTTTTCAGGGCCACCAAGCTTATTACAGTAAAGAGTAGGAATAGAATTCATCTGCCTGTTTGTCCATATTCAGAACCAATCACACAAAATGCTCATGTAATCAAATTGAAAGCAGGGTACAAATTATTTTGATCAACCTTGATCAACTTTGAATCGCCACGGCCGGATATTTTCGATGAAAGAAGCAACAATCTAGCATCCAATTCGACGAAGACGGCAGGAAACATTTGTGAAGCCGAGTTATTTACGAAATAGAGTGTCGATGAAGAGAATCGATCAATGTAGACAGGACCTATTGAAAAGTGACGCGAGATTTGTTTTCCGTACTAAGCTCCAATGCTACCAACGCCAGGGAGGCAGCTCAGACACCTGGACCCTAGGGGCATCCCACTCTAAACTTTGTATTTCTCCCGTTCTACACAGAAAGTTCTTGCTAATATCTAAGATACCTACAAATACTTAAAAATACTTAAGAAATATTTAGCGTTAGTTTATTACCACCTAGGTTACCACCGTTGCAAAACAAATTTAATTTGTTTGTTTATCTAATATCGTCTAGCATTTTTCAGTGAATATTTTTAAAGTACCCATCCTTTGCAAGAAATTCATTCATTATAATGCATTACATGAAGTGACGGAATGTTATCCCGAATATGGCTTCTATTTAGAGAACAAATTGAATTATGCCACGCTACAAGCACTCAAACATTTCACGTTATGGCCTAACTCTGTCTAGCTAATAGTCGTGGGAATCTTCCATCCGTTCCTCATTGATCTGAATTCCATCATTGTGTAATCGGTGAAAATAAGGCTATTGACAGTGTGACACTAACTGAAGTAATTTAGGCTGATCGGAGTTGAATTAGAATTTGTGGAGGCTTTCCCGAGAATCACATCTCATAGCTTCCCGCCGAATGGGTTAATCTTAAAGTGGAGAATAATTTCTACTATTTGGAACCTTCGACGCTCTTATTATAAGCCATCGATTTTCAACCTGGAGTTCGCGAACCCCCACTGAACGAAAAGCACATAAGAAGGAATTAGGCGATGTAGACAGTTCCCCTCTTTGATAATGTTGGAATGGTTTAATTACGTGTTTTTGAGATCAGTGAGCATGCTCCACGGGCTGAAAATACTGCTGTAAACTTTCAGAAAAGGTTGTGGAATGTTAAAATATTAATTTGGACTGTTTGGATTAAATTTATACAATTTAGCTATAGATTTATGTTTGCAAAATACAAACAAGCTAATAAAGTGTTCTTTTTATTGTGAGAATTGCATAAATTATTATTTCACAATATTAAAGTGCGTATCCCCCCCCCCCCCCTCGACAAACTTGGCAGACTTCTGCTTCATTGAGTCATCTGGTTGCCTAGATAGAACATAAAGGTAATGAAGCGAGTGTTTTGCAATCCTCCATCATCATCCGAAGCCTAAAAGCACGAAATCTATGTAGAGTTAAAAAAAATCATTGACTCCTAGTAGCATAGAAGGATCTTAACTTTTTCGCCAGTACGGTGTAATCCAGTAATGTATGCTCCTCAAATAGTGGCACTATGGGGAGGTCCACCATCCCAACGAATAGTTCCTGCTGTAGCAACTGTAAATGGTACGCTAATGGTACGTACAGTCCATTGAATATTCTGCCTGGTTAGTTGAAAAATTGTTTACTTTGTTACACTATTTCATAGATGAAATTAAAATACTTACTAATTAATTAACACGATTACACATATAATTTAAATTAAAACAGGATACATTACTATCAATTCCACTAAATTCGAGACGAAAAGTCATAAATCGTCCAAGTTAAAACAACAAACAATTATACTAGCAACCGGTCACTACGATGAAAATTATCCAGGATTGAAAATACTTAAAAATACTTAAGAATACTTATGATAGATTTAAAAATATTCAATTGATATTAGAACTAAAGTTTAGAGTGGGATGTCCCTAGCCTGGACCCTACCAATCGACCCACAACTGAACCAGGGACCAACGGCTTTACTTCCCGGAGGAAGGCGTGATCAAAGATGTTATGCCTTAGAACATGCCGGTGGCGCCGACTGAGATTGGACCCAGGCCTGCTGGGATCTTTCAAGGTGATATCACGGCGAATGAGATCGACCCAAATTTGAGTTTAGTTATCTCAGAAACAAGAAACAAAGTGCAGGAACTCAGCGATGAGTAAATTTGTTTCATGTTTTCCCAGGTTTTATCAGGATTTTCCAGGTAAAAATTCCCGAATTTGAGAAAAGTAAAGATTGGATTCACTCAGTCTATTGGTACTACTCCGAGACTGAATAAATTTTTTGTCAATTTCCTCATTTTCTGGCAGATTTTTTAGGTTGTTCACAGGAAACCATGAGACAAATTTACTCATCGCTGAGTTCCTGCACTTTTGGCGATTATGAGTGAACTAAACTCAAATTTGGGTCATTCTCATTCGCCGTGTACGCAAAAGGAAAAGAGCCAGTGTCGCTACTTTATAGCAAACTACTCATAATGGGAGGACTCTTTGTAGCTTTTATACCACTTGGTTGCACATCATTCTGCTTTAACCTGAAAAGATATAAAAGAGCGCTGCTGTATGGCATTAGCTCATCAGGCTCATCATTCTCTGCTTGAACGTCAAGCAGTACAGTTAGGTCTTTGCTCGCTTTGTCGAGTTGTTCGATAAATCTATAGTTTGTTACAAACGTTCGCAGATATACTGCACGTCGCGTCGTCAGTAGTGTCGGTCGCATCGCGTGATGGGAAGACAGCGCTCTCGGAGCCGACTTCGTGACCAAGCGGAGAAGAAGAACAGTGGTGAGGGTAGCTCGGTACCTACCTCAAATAGGTACGCTACTCTGCCCACCGATGTTGGAAATACCAACCCAGTCCCGGTGAAGCGGACGAAAAAGAGGAAGAAGAACCAAGGACAGTCCGATGGTACGAGCGGACGCGACGATGTTACCGCGACGAACGCCAGCTACATCGGTGATTCCGGCGACGCCGTCGAAACCGAGAATTCTGCCGGCCCGAGTACGGCGAAAGTCAAGCTTCCTCCACTGGTGGTGAAGGTAGTGCCACTCAAGACGCTCATTGGTGATTTCACATCGCTGGGCATCGCAGCTGAGTACAAGATCAGCAGGATCGGCACTAAGGTCATGCTCCGGATGAAAGCGGAATACGAAAACGCAGTCAAATTCCTGAAGGATTCCAATGCGGAATACTTCACGCACGACATCCCCGGTTAAAAGCCCTTCAAGGTAGTCATCAGGGGTCTACCGGATGTTGATCCCAAGGCGATCGAAGAAGAACTCAAGGACCGGTACAAGCTGGCCCCAATCGCTGTCTTTCGGATGACGAGGCGAGACGAAAACGTGAAGACGTACCCGGATTGTCTTTTCCTGGTGCACTTCCAGAAGGGAACGGTGACGCTGAATGCGCTGCAGGCTATCCGCTCAATCTACTCCTTAATCGTACGAAGGGAGCCATACCGTGGAGGCCATCGCGATGTGACCCAGTACCAACGATGTCTGAACTTTGGACACGGCACTCGCAATTGCCACGCTGCAGCAACTGCGCTCAAGAACACGCCACTTCCAACTGCCCTGCGGATGGAGCCGTGGCGTTAAAATGCGCCAACTGTGGTGGTGCTCATCAAGGTTCCGACAGACAGTGCTCCAAACGCGAGGACACAAACGCATCCGAAAACAGGTGGCAACTAACAATCAACCAGGACGCAAGAAGGACAAAGTCCCGGCATTTCGTGGGCCTTCTAACCGAGACCCATCTCAAGTCCGGCGACAGCTTCTGGTTGCCTGACCACAACATTATCCGGCTTGATCGCACCAGCTCCAGGGGAGGGGGGTGGTGTTGCGGTCGTCGTCAAGAAGGGAATAAAATATCACACTCTGTCCCATAT